GGCAGAGTTAACGGTAACAGTTCACAAAACAAAACCACATACATTGTGTTTTTAGTTATTTCTGGAAACTTGAAATAACGAAATAAATAGACAGATATTTGACTCCCAAATTAACGAACGAAACACATCTTCAACAAATTTAAATTTTTCCCCAACGCCGCCATTCACCGCAAGATCAGCTGAGAACGCCAACGGTTACCGTTTCCATTGTCTTTCTTGGACCGGGATTCCTCTCCTTCATTCCAATTGTTTATTTTACGAGTGCCATTCATTCTCCCGAATAATTGGGAACACCGTTCGCCATGTCCGTTCGCCTGAATATCATTGTGGCTGCGTGTGAGAACCATGGTATCGGCATTAACGGCGAATTGCCATGGAAACTGAGGTGAGAATGTGACAGAAAACAATTATTTTTCATTTCTATTTTAATAGATTTGTATATATTTTAAGAGATTCGTGTTTCCCGCTTTGGATTTTTTCTGATAAGATGTTACTGTTGGTATTTTTTCCTTTGTTGATAGGAAAGAAGTCAGTACAATGGCAAACACTTTTCAAAGTCTCAAGAATTATGTAAGTAAACAAACATGTAATAAATAGTAATAAGGGAGAGAGTGAAATACTGAGTAAAGGAAGAAGAAAAGGGCGTTTATTTTAAATAATTCACTGAATTGTGATTTTTCCCAATCAGGTTTTATATAATGTTTAAATATACAATTTAAGCTTGGTAAAAATTTCAAAAGGTAATGTTGAACTCAGATTTGAAATATTTCAAATTTATTTATATACTCATATCATTTGGGGGGTAAGTATCTCTTATATCGTATATTGATATATTTAAGGAAACAACTCTTTCATAAAATAAACATTCGCTCCGAGGATCGTGCTTTTAGCGATCGTTGAATGGGGACTAATTATATTTTTGATTTATTGGTAATGTTGGTATTGTTAGTTCAAGTTTAACCTTCCATCATGCGAAACGATGGTTTTATTGGAACTCGACGATTTAATTGTATTAAATGAAAAAGAGCTACAGAAAATTTCATATATGATATATTGTGTAATTCGAAAGAATATAATATTCATAGACTTTATCCGTTAATTTCACATATTCCTGGTTTCGAGTCTTTGAATAGATGATGAAGACAAGTATCAGATAGGGCGTGCGCAAAGTGAAAATTAGAAAGCAAAGATATTCTCCCCGAGCGGCTGTGAGTCAACAAACATGGCGTCGAAAGTGACAGGAAGGCAGGCGACGCTCCTACGGGTTTTGGTCCTCAGCGGCACCTTCTTCCTCGCTGCGGGTGAGCGAGTGAAGAACAAGATCTACGATGAGATCCAGGGCGACATGGCGTGCTTCAAGAGGTTCAACGGCACGCATGAGATCGGGTGCACGTCCAAGTTCTTCGGGAACACGGGGGTCCTCCATGTCATCGAGGAGAAGGCCGATTTCGACTGGGTGTATGAGCACGGGCCCCATCAGCCCTACGTCTTGGCCTTCACGCCGCTGTTCCTGACGGAGGCGGTGCTGGAGCGGGCCACGGACTCGGGGAAGGTGTCCGGGGTGGTGGTGGTGGTGCCTGAGGACTTCGACCCCGAGACGCAGCTCCTGGACGGCTTCTCTGGAGAGACGGAGTGCCCCGACGCCTACCTGGGTCTCTACAACGCCTCAAGCAACCCCGACTATGCTGGCTATTGCAGGAAGAAGCCCTGGAACCCCAACGGAACTTCCATGCTCTACACCTCTTGGGAATTCCCCATCTTCCTCATTACTAACCAAACCTCAGTCAACAATATTCAGAATTGTTTCGAAAAATTCAATAAGCCTGTGAATGGGATGCCCAGAGATTGGCCTTTGTGTTCCTTGGAACTAAAATCCAACATGTATGGCACGACCAATTCGGAAGTCTGTATGAGGCGGGCTTCCATAGGGCCCTTAAGCACAGACAATTTCTGTGATCCATTGTATGACTATAACATTTGGGGTACACTAAAGCCTATGAATATGAGTGAAGAGATCCCTGAGAAGTCTGTAATTATAGTAGCTGCAAGAATGGATGCAGCAACAATGTTTGACAACATTTCTCCAGGTGCAAACTCTGCAGTATCAGGAATCATCACCCTGATGTCAGCTGCCGCAGCAATATTTAAGCACAAGGAGGAGATAATAAATGTGAGCAACAAGAACATACTCTTCATTCTCTTCCAGGGTGAGACTTGGGGTTACATTGGGTCATCACGTGTAGTTTGGGACATGGAACAGGGGCAGTTTCCCTACAAAGTTAAAGATGATGTGAAAGATCAGATTGCACAGATTAACCTTACCCACATTGACTACTTCATAGAGCTGGAGCAAGTGGGACAGCCTGAGGACATCAACAAGTTGTATATACACACAGATCCCATCTCCAATGCCAACCCCGAATTAAAGAATGAAACAGACAACCTGCTTAATATCTTGGACGAAGCATCAAATTTGGTTAATGAAACTAAGTTTGTGAGGGTCAGAAAGGATGTTCCCCTCCCGCCTTCTTCAATTCAGAGCTTCTTGAAACATGTAAACATCTCGGGAGTTGTCATCACAGATCATGAGGGTGAGTTTAAAAACCCCTATTATGAGAGCTTCCTCGATAATTATCGCAATGTCAAGTATGAGGCTGACAATGAAACCAGTGATGCAGATCTTTATCATAAGCACATCAATAATGTTGCTAGTGTGTTGGCCACAGCTATCTACAAATTGGCCACTAATACCCATAAGAAGATCACAGCTGATCCAGAACTAACAAACGAGCTCTTATTTTGCTACATGAAAAACATGACCTGTAACCTTGTCCAGGAATATGGAGGAGAAATGGCAAAGCACTTGGAACCGAAACCTGCCAAGCTGTATGTGAGTGTGGAGAGTGGGGAGAGGTATAGGTCTTATGTAACAATGTACTTGATGGCGGGGCTCCTTGGAGATGAGGTAGAGCGAAATCAATCTGATTGCAAGATTGAAAGCATTTACAACATGAATCACTTTTACTACTTCTCCCACTTACACAATGGAACATGTGTGCAGACTACTGTGAGGATGACTGAAGCCATGAGTCCTGCCTTCCTCATAGATGACTATGACTGGAAATCTGGCGAATATTCAACCTGGACAGAGAGTGGATGGAAGTTGACTAAGGTCATGATTTTCTTGCGGCCATCGGTCTTGGAGGAAGTTGCTGTGGTGTGTGGAGGTGTGGTATCATTAGTACTCTCCGTGATTGTTGTTCATTTCATGAACTCGCGTGCCGATCTACTCTTTGGTTTATCAACACCACCAGCAGCATGTTGAAACTGTGATAAAGTATGTGTATATGTGTGTGGATATATGTAATGTGGATAATGAAACTATTTTGAGATTTTTTACAGTGAATTGCCAGGACAGTTTTGAAATACCTTGTGTGAACTTTGTGGTGTCATAACTTGGATGATGAGGAAAACTGTCCATTACATGATAGGTTGTAAATCATGTGAGCAAATATCCTCCAGTAAATATGTCATATCATGATACATCATGAGGTTTCAGCTTGGAATTCATACTGAGAGTTGACAACAAATTATTGGATTATTGGTCATCCTCACTTTTCATCAAATTGCACATAACTTTCCCCTCTTAATGAAGAGAGTATATACTTATATTGTTACTAACATTTTTCATGTTTTGCTTGAATGGAAAGCTCTCTTTTTCTTTCTTTACAAATTTTGCTATCATGGTTAGCAGAATGTCTCCAAATTTAATGGAATGGAATAGCCTAATGTAAAAAGATTCTCGTGTGATATCCTTGTTACCTGCTCGATACATATTCATCAGTTTCTGGTCTGTGTTTTAGGAATCAAAGCACAATCATTATTCCATTTACATACCATATGTGGTAAACATTTGTAAAGTAATTGAAAATTGAAAACATAATGAATATAGAAATAATTATCGAAAATTAATTTACAGTTGACAGTTGAATTTTCTCTGTGGGATGGCAATTTCAGAATTGAATATTGACTTATATAGATGTTTTGTTTTGATAATTGAAATAATGTCATTTCATTGGAAAACATACTTTACCCTTTATTATTACACTTGATTATTTTTTGAGAATGTGCAGAGGTTGATTGTAAAGGAGAGTGAAAGCAGCATCGGGGAACAAAATATATTTATCATATTGCATTGTGTCCGGTAATGTCTGTCTTGTATGGTGTCATTTCTTTTCCCCTCTCCACCATGTGAGACAATGATTGATGGTATTATAGTCATGCATTGCAATTCATAATCTTTATTGCTAGGACTAATTTACAGTAATTCACTGTGAGGGAAAACTAGAGCAAGAAGATATTTTATGATTATGGTAATCAGAATTGTTCTTTAAAATGAAATTTGTTATGATGTCTTATTTATTTATAATGCATAGAACTCTTGAAAGTATTTTTAGTCAAAGGTATACATGAAGTGGTAGAAGATAATCCTCCTTGCAGTATACTTTTTCCCCTCTTTCTCTTCTCTTTTCTCCCCCCTCCCCATTCCTCAAATGTCACTAATACATTCCATGCTTATGTTGACTGATGCATTTGTCTTTTTGACAGGTTATTTAATCTAGGCTCATGTAATATTGCTAAGCTAGAATAAGGTCCCAGTAAACTGTGTTTCTTGATTTAGAATTGCACTATGGCTCAGTGCAGATCTTTGGTGTTCTGCATAACTGCATTTTATATATGGAAGCGATTTGAAAATTCCTTATAGTAATGGTATTTATTTCAAATTACATATGCGGGTGACTAATACATGGCAGTTCTAGTGCTTGAGCTATAACGAACTCAAGCTTGCAACAGTTTAGGATGCAAAATGTTGTGATTATCATTTTAGAAAATGTAAATGGTCTGAACATATAGAGAAGAAATGGTGTGTCAAGATAATAAAGGATATAGTTTATTATTATCATTATTTTTTTTTCTTTCTTTCTTTCTTTCTTTCTTTTATTTTTTTTCTTTTTAATAATATTATGATCATCATTGTTATTGTTAGTATGGTTATTCATGTTTTTATTATTTTAGCTTTGATTAATTTCTAGTGAAGTAAATGATGGATGGTTAAAGTGTAATCATGTCATGTTTTGTCTCTATTTAGCTCATAGATTCTTTGTGCAGGCTAGATTGAAGGAGAAATCACTGCATTTCACTGTCTGCCAAGATCAGCCAAAGATTGTGACTAATTTTATAAACAAATGAAAATGTGATAAGTAGATTTGTCTTGTAAGCTTTGTAAATAAACAGATTTTTTTTATAAACTTTTATTAACATTGGGGAATATGGGAAGTGTTTGCAATTTACATAATATCTTGCTACTGAATGAATAATGTGAATTGTGTTATAACATGACTTGCTTTAATGAATACATAATCAACCCCCTCCCCCAGTTTGCTAGTTGTCTAGTGTTGTTTTGATGCAAGTGTCAGTAGTAAGTATGAGTAAAGCTATTTGGGTAATGTTTTTTTTTTTTTTTCTTCATATACATCTGACTTTTTTTATACATAAAATACATAATTCTGTATCTCAAGCAATACATAGCATTCTTCTTCTTCTTCTTCTTCTTCTTCTTCTCCTTCTTCTCCTTCTTCTTCTTCTTCCTTCTTCTTCTTCTTCTTCTTCTTCTTCTTCTTCTTCTTCTTCTTCTTTTTTTTTCTTCTTCTTCTTCTTCTTCTTCTTCTTCTTCTTCTTTTCTTTCTTCTTCTTTTTTTTTCTTCTTCTTTTCTTTCTTTCTTCTTCTTTTCTTCTTCTTTTTTTTCTTCTTCTTCTTTTTTTTCTTCTTTTCTTCTTTCTTCTTCTCTCTTTTTCTTCTTCTTCTTTTTCTTCTTCTTTCTTCTTCTTCTTCTTTCTTCTTCTTCTTCTTCTTCTTCTTCTTCTTCTTCTTCTTCTTCTTCTTCTTCTTCTTCTTCTTCTTCTTCTTCTCTTCTTCTTCTTCTTCTTCTTCTTCTTCTTCTTCTTCTTCTTCTTCTTCTTCTTCTTCTTTCTTCTTCTTCTTCTTCTTCTTCTTCTTCTTCTTCCTCTCTCCTTCCTCCTCCTCCCCTCTCCTCCTCCTCCTCCTCCTCCCCCATCTATTTTTTAGCTATTCTATCATATCTTAACTCATTATTATTGGACATAATGCATCAAAATAGCCTTTGATTGATCTAGGTAGAATGATCATAACTCACAAACTGAAATTTCTGTTACAAACAATGAAATCACTACACAGGTGTGCTTTTATACCTTGGCAGTAAATTATTTTACACCAAGTACTAAAAATTTGATTTATTAAGAAGTATCGTGTATGCTAAAAAAAAATCTTTAGAATATGCTTGAACTTTTTATGAATCAAGTGGTTGAACCTCTGGCACCTGTGAGAATGAATTTCTTGCCTACCCACAAGTTACATTGTTGTGAGCTTTAAACAGGAGCCTAGAAAGTCATTATGTTGTAAATCCCCAGAATAATGACACCTCACAGAGGAAATATAAGGATCTTAGGAGCATTTGCAATAACTTTTAAGGAATCTTGAGCAATGTCCAATATTACTGTAATCTAAAATTTTCTTTGCTCTTAAAGACAAGTTGAAACATCTGGAAATGGAGCATGGATTCTCTGGCTTGTGGAATTAAATGTTTTGCCTTGAAAATGCCATACTATATAGGTGAGAAAATAAAACTAAGTAACTGCTAAACAACACATTCAGAAGAGTGTGTGGCGAGTTTATGCTAGCACTGCCCATTTAATGTTTAGAGTAGAATTGTTGGTACAAATGGCAGGTACTCTTCCAAGCAAGTACTTAGACTCAGTGCAGGCAGTAGGCCAACAATGGCCAATCTTGCCAATAGCTACTGACAGGTTTAGACCTAGGGAAACTGTAAATGCCATTATCATCCCTTAAGTTAGACTATCATGGTTTTGTTATGATAGTCCAAAGGTTACATATGGCACTTTAGTCAGAGTCTGTTGGAACTAACATATAGAGGGCAAAAGGTGCACATAAAAGAATTATTTATTAACAAAATCAATTTGCACAGGTATGCAAATCAGACAATCCATAGCATGGTAAGGTTATATGGATATATAGTCCAATTCATCAGGATATGTAGGAGGCCCTGTCCTTTTTGTTAATGCCATAGACAGACATATCATTTAATGTCTAACCTACTAGCTGATAACATTTCATAATAAAATTGATTGAATAATAAGGATATACTTCAGTGACTAATTCTGCAGTTACTTTTGTAATACAAAAATTCAATTGTGAATATACCATTGGAAATAATGAAAGGTAAGTTTAGACTATTGTGATAGAATGAAAGCATGTATGAATTTAAGTATATATGTAAGGAGAATATATGGAAAATGTTTATATCACATTTTACCAATCAGTCATTTTTACAACTATGAATTAAGTTTGAGAAGTTGGCAAATTTTGATGACAAATTCTCAAGATTGCCGTGGTGACAGCAAAATTAAAACAAAAACAATGATAGAACCAGTGTTTTTCTTGATGTTTCTTAATGAAAAAATCTGCAACCATTTGAGCTTTATACATTGATAAACATATAGCATATAAACATATAACATATAAACATGCATACATACAGTAATATAAAGTAAGTTTTAGGCACTGAAGGGATTTTGACTTTGGAAATAATGATAATAGTTATAATATACATTATAATCCTCCCTACAGATACAGAGAGTGGTGTAACACAATCCACTTGTGAGAAGTGACATAACTGCAAAGTATTTTTTATCATTTTTCATTTATCTATTCCTTTTTTTTTCTCTTATGGAGATGTTAAACTGCTAGAATCCCCTTCCCTGCAGGTAAAATCAATAGTCTTGCATTAATAGAAGAAATATTAATCTATTACCCTAACTTCATCCTTTAACAAGGTTTTCAAACTGTTATTTATCAATAAAAATATGACTTGTGATTACAGTTATTAAATTAGAAATTTAAAGGGTAATTGATATGTTGTAAGGTTCAACTATACAGGGTAATTAATTGTTTTTTTATTATCAGGTTTTGAAGTTAGTGATAAATTGTGTTTTTCCTTCTCAAGTCCCTAATTTATTTGATATTTAACTCTTGATTTGTTTTTTAAATGAAATTTTTATTAGTCATTTGCCCAGAAGCAGTATTTAAATTGTAAAGAAAAAAAAAAGACATAGGTAGAGTTTTATAATTCATACTGATCCATCCATCCAAAATCTATTAAGGGAGGAAATGAAGTACTTCAGCCGCATGACAAAGGCCACAAAGTCATTAGAGAAGCAGAATGCTGTCATGATGGGCCGCAAGACATGGGAATCCATCCCAGCCAAGTTCAGGCCCTTACCTGGTCGACTCAATCTGGTGATTTCGTCAAGAGCAAAGTGAGTGCCATTTTATAAAGATTTTGTTTGCCTTCAGGTTGATAATGGGCCCAACTTTTTTCAAAGGGAAAAGGAAGGAATTTCTGAAGGAGAATCATGTGTTTATTAATTGAAACTGAATGCATGAGAAGGCAATTAATTATCAGTGATTTGAATTTTAAGTCTGCTCATTGTTTTTTTGCATTTACAGTTTATATAATAATTGTTACTTCTGACTATCTCTCATTTTCCAACAAGACTACCGTGGAAGCATATAAGAAGGTAAAGTAAGAAATGGTATATATTCAACATGAGTGATGCTTAAAGCATGTGTGCAGCAAGCCAAAGCTGTAGTGCAGTTTTGTATCATTTGGGCATCTATTACAAAAGGCTACCAGGTTTATGCTTAAACCCTAAAGGATGTATCCTGTGACTAGGTATGCTCAGGTGAGAACACAAGGCACATGTGGGAAGAGGAGGAGGATGTATAATTTTGAAATTGTTGTTTATTAGACTTAGCATTGCAGTTGCTGTCAGAATTACATGTAGTGCATTTGTTCTCCTTTTTTATTACTTTTTTGTATAGGTGAGATGCTTTGACTTCAGAATCATACCCAAGTCTGGCAGAAAAAGGGTATTTACAAAACAAGTTTGAAAGAATTTCAAAGTCTATGTAGATTTCATTCACATGTCTGGTCTAGAAATGATATTCAAGGGTGTTTTTTTCTGCCAGTGTGTAATGATTCATATTTTTCTTTTAGCGACACTGGTTTGCTTTGTTGATATATATATATATATATATATATATATATATATATATATATATATATATATATATATATATTTTTTTTTTTTTTTTTTTTTTTTTTTTTTTTTTTTTTGTATGAAAATAGCAACTTTTTTTTTTTTTTTAGCTCTGTGCTATTAGATTATAATTTACTGCATGGTTTATGCATGAGGATAATACAGAATTTATGTCATTTCTCATATAAAATATGAGTGTCTGTATAATTACTTAATCCTTATAAGCACAATTCATCAACAATTGCCCTAACTTCATCCTTTAACATGATTTTCAAACTATTGTTGATTGACAATTTTTTTTGTTTATCTTATAAGGCAGATTGATGTTATATATATTTTATGTCCTATGTCAAGTCTATTTTGCTGAAAAAGTTACCACAGGTACCATTGAAAACATATATCACAAAAAAGCAATAAAGACAGAGAAACCAGTTGGCAATACCATTTCTATTTGTGGAGTGGTAATAGAAGATTGTGTGAGGAGGAAAAGATCGGGTGTATGGTTGGATGGAACCAAACAGCCCCAGAATTACTCTTTCACGTCCATAATAAAAAAGGAGAAATACTAATTGTCTGATTGCCCCAGAGAGAGCAAAGGCTACAAGGGTTATGGGAGTAAGGGATAGTCTAGTGTGTATTGTTGATGGAAACATGCCATACATTACCGGATATATCTGTTGAGATGTTGATCATTTACAGTAAAAAAAAGGTGGGAAAATGGTCACATGTTATTTGATAAAATAATGCCATAATCAGGGTAATTAGGAGTATATGTTAGCTGTGGGTTAGGGTTGATTTTATA